AGAAAAACAATCATTCCTCCTTGGTAGCGTGCTAAGCATTTATTTATTTGTTCTCATTTTTACTCAAGTGTGAGCAACAGATGAAGGCCAGGCTGTTTCACCTTCACATTCCCAGCACTTAGCACTAACCAAGTAAAGAAAAGCACCTGATGAGCATTTCCTAAAGTGAACTGAATATGGATTCTGACTGCCTAATACGATGGCTTCTCCTTCAAAGGCCTCAGATACCCTTCTAAGATCAACAGAATGATATTTCTGATATATGGCATCATACACAATAAATGCATAATCTTTAAATAACACTATAACTAATTATTATCATAAAGATAATATGTCTTACTTTAGTGCGACACATAAGCGAGATATTCATGCTATGTGAATAGTGGGTACCCAGCATCTTGGTACCTTCCTTCTGGTAAAACAAGAAAGGATCACATCATGGAGTAATGTGAGTACTAGAAATGTGGGCCCCTGGGGGTAAAAGACACCTCTTAACGGGAAATAGAAGAAAAATAGGGAATAGTCAAGTGTAGGTCCAGCTTGGAATCTTAGACTAGGAATCAGGAAACTGATTATAGACCCAGATTTTAGGGATTTTTCCCAGGGTTTATTTATTTATTCACTGTAGCAAAATATACATACAACTACCATTTTAACTATTTCTCCAGTGCATAATTCAGTAGCATTAAGTACATTATGTTCATGTGTTATGCAACCACTTCTATTGATCTCCAGAACTTTAAATCTTCTCAAACTGCGACTCCAAACCCATTAAACACGAACTCCCTGTTCCCACCTTCCTCCAGCTCTTGGCAACCACCATTCTACTTTCTGTTTCTAGGAATTTGACTCCTTTAGATGCCTGAAAAAAGTGGGACCTTATATTTGTCCTTTCATTTTTGGATTATTTCACTTGGCATAATGCCATCAAGGTTCATACAGGTTGTAGCATATACAAAATTTCCTTCTTATTTTAATTTAATTTTTTGTGGTACTGAGATGGAACCTGGGGCCTCATGCTTGCTAGGGAAGTGCTATACTACTGAACTGCATCCCCGGGCCATTTCCTTCAAGATCGAATAATAATCCATTGTATGGATATACCACATTTTGTTTATCCCTTCATCCATTGATAGACATTTGGGTTGCTTCCACTTTTTGCTATTGTGAATGATGCTTATGAATACGATGTACCAATATCTGTATGAGATTCTGCTCATCTGTATGAGATTATTCTTTTGGGTATATGCCCTAAAGTAGAATTGCTATATCTTATGGCAATTCTGTTTAAGAGGAACCACTGTCATATTTTTCACAGTGGCTACACCATTTTACATCTTCATTAGTAATGCACAAAGGCTCCCCTTTATTTGTTCATTTAATATGCTACATGTTCTCTGGTGAGGCACCATTACTCTGTGCCTCGTAGTTTCCTTATCTACAAAACAAGGAGGTCAGAATAATCTGTAAGGTTTCTTCCAGCAGTAAAAGAACTATCTGGGCCTAATTAACTCAAGTTGAAATTAGAGCCAGAAAGCAGTCTGGATGATTTATGGAGCATGACTTGATACTTGAATCCTCCTCCTGTTACAACAAAGTAATATTTTTTTTCCAAGAGAAGAGCAGAGACTCTAAAAACCATTTTATGCACATGGCTCTCATAATAGTGGCAATCACTTCCAGAGCATGTACCCTGCCCTGAGCATCCCACATACACTATCTCTGTTCATCTGTGCAGAGAGCTCAACTCCACAGGTGAAGAAACCGAGACATGGCGGAATTATGACATCTGCCCAAGGACACACAGTCAGCAGTGAAAGAGCTAAGATCTGCCCTTGGCCTGCTCTGCTCTGAAACAGGTTCTTTATCTTTCTCTTTTTGTTTTTTCTGGAGGCAGGTTCTTACCCACCCAACACCATTCCTTGCTCATTCAGTGTTCCTCATGAGTCTTTCCTTTTTTCTCTCTCTTCTTTTGTGGTACTGGGATTGGAACCCAGGGCCTTGCACATGCCAGGTAAGTGCTCTACCATTAAGCTACCCCCATGGCTCCTCAAGCCTGGAGTACTTGTAACTATTTTCATTTACCTCATTTCTATTTAAATGTCCCAGCCCTCTGCAAAGACCAGCTCAGTGTCCTCATCTCTAGCACTTAAGCTTCTTAGTTTCAGGCATGAAGGCCAAAATGTACAAAAGGGTCCTTAAAATTCCCTCAGTGAATTTTTTTTTTTCCCTAGTCATTTTATCTGATAGCTTTCAAGTGTTTTCCAGAAGATTAGTTTGAAGGCACTTCTTCCCCTGTAGAGGGGGAAGAAGCAGAATGCTTGTTGTGTGTCTGGGATGTTTACATATATTATTTCATTGAATCCTGACAACAACCCTATGGTGTGAGTTTTATTACCTCTCAATACAAGCAAGGATACTGAGAGTTAGAAAGGGAAAGATCACCAAGGTCACTCAGCCAGAAGGTCATAGGTCTGGGAAGCAGGCCTGGCACAGTGAGCCTGAAACCTTGCTCCTTCCTTAGGGGACATTGTCCCAAAGAGAACATCGAGTACCATTTAGGAAATCAGGGCTAGATAAATGTCATGTAACAATCCTAGGTGCTGACTCAGGACAATGGAGCAGCTGACATTAGAAAGAGGCTGAACTAGAGGGAAGTGAAGAGAGTCATAGCTCCCTGGAAGTGGACCTGCTAGGACAGGGAACAACTGAGACTCCACTGAAGCTGAGATTCTTTACAGATGAAGCACTCGAGGCTGTTCCCTCAGAACAGACTATGGGGGCTATTACTAGACAATATATATGTTAATTACCAAGAAGATTTGCTGAATATTTTCATGGAAGATATAGTTTTAAGAAATTGAGTTTTATCTAAGGATAAAGTCTTAATAATTCCACATGAACCTTAACCTTGTTTAGTACCTGCTCTCTGTTCTACAAAGCTTGGCCAAGGAAGTGTTATTTAGTTTCAGATTTAGCTGGAAAGAACTCTCTCAAGAGGACTCTGAGGTACCAGAATGCACTTGAGAACTTTAAAAAAATAGGAATAAAAAATTAAGAAAAGCAGATGTGAGTGACATCTGATCCAAACATTGATGGGACCTCTTCAGATTTCTACTAGACCTGGATTCCAAAGGTATGAGTTATTTATCAGAGGGGTACTCATCTAAATTGTTTATCTCTAAATAGAGAACATCACAGTTTCTCAAGGAACAGACTGACTTTTTCCGGTGGTGGTGGGGGGGGGAGGGATACTGAGGATTGAACTCAGGGATGCTTGACCACTGAGCCATATCCCCAGCCCTATTTTTCTATTTTATTTAGAGACAGGGTCTCACCGAGTTGCTTAGTGCCTCACTTTTGATGATACTGGCTTTGAACTCGTGATCCTCCTACCTCAGCCTCTCAAGCCACTTGGATTACAGGCCTGCGCTACCGCGCCTGGCTAGACTAACTTTTATTTCCCACTCACCACAGTACCAAACTCAAGGATCTTTATGTGCTAAGGCTCACAATGCACATTTCATTATAGCTGAACAAGCATTTTCATTCCATTTATAAACTCTAGGGTCTTTCTTTTAAATGTTAAAGTAGTCTAATCAGCCACAGTAATCAACAAAACCTGTGCACCTGGAAAAACCACTAGTTTTTTGATGGCTGTTGTCTTGGGTCAAGCTATGATGCCTTTAGGATCATGAAGAATCAGATTCTGGGCCCTGGAGCTGGGAAAATATTGATGCAAAGTATGCCTGATACAGCTTATATTATCAAGGTTAGCTGTGGCCAATCCAGGTGAGTACATTTCCCTTCAGGAAGTTAAGAAACTTCAGGGCGTGCGTCCACAAAGATAAGCCCTTCTCCTTTTTTTTTTTTTTTTAACACAATTATAAGAGCCATGTTCTTGGTCTTCTTAGTCTAAAATTTCCACTAACTGTAATTTACTCCTCTGAAAACATTCTAGGTAGGAGACATTTGGTGGAATCCCAAAATACTTTGTTTTAATCTCTATATGAGATTAGTGCTTTTTCAATTTTAGGACATTTTTTTGGCTTCTGAGCTCCTGAGAATCAAGTTATGAATTATGATTCACTTTGGCAACGTTTGCCTGAGAACAATTTCTGTGATTATTTTTCTTTTAGAGATGCAGGGAATTCTCAGGGACAATCTTGCCTTCAGTTCCAGTACACAGTGACCATTCTCAAAATGGCATTGATTATAAAGTTGAAGACTGCTAAAAAGACAAGTCTTTCAACAAGATTGCTAATATTTTCCAGATTTAACATTTTTGTTCCAATCACTAGAAAGGACATAACTTGAGGAAGATAATTATAAGAAATATAAACTGAGGGTAGTATCCATGGGACTTTACCCAACAGATAATGAATTGTTCTGATTTTCCCCTACTCAAAGAAGTAATTAATTCACTTCTATATCCCCTGTGTACATAGCAGGTGACAATACATAATTTTTAAACTCAATCTAATGGGGTAACAGAACTGACCCAAATTATATATACTTTCTTAGTTTCAACAGAAGAATATCAAATCCATGTTTCTTCCACACTTCAAAGTAAGGCATATAGCATGATGCCTTGAGTGCATTAAGAAATAAAAAGTCTCCCAACATGATGCATGACCATATTCCACCTAAATCTTGGCTTGGCACCTGGCTTGCATAAAGATAACAGGGTGGTCAAAGAACTCTGCAGAGGCATGGCCTGATCACGAAGGAGAGACATCATTTCACCTAAACTCAAGCCATAATGCTAGAAATACTTGATATCTGGCAAACAAAGCTATCAACTGTTATTGCAGTTGGCCCCTTAATCACTATTGCAAGAGGAAGCCAGACACGACCTGAGAGAACTCTGGTTCTCTGATCCTTTAGGTTGAAACACAAATTTGAGTTAGGCTGGGAGCTTACTGGTAGGAAGTACTCAAAAAAGACACAAGAAGCACATATAGCAAGGTGGTCTGCTGTAGGTGGGAAGCCAAACTTACAGATTTTAGGATCCCTGTGGCATCTTCATGGAGCCAGGTAGGGTAGACCACCTCATCATTCAGGATGGCCTCAAAGAGGTCGTCTTCATTCTCAGCCTCAAAGGGTGCATGACCGCAGAGCATCTCGTAGAGCAACACGCCCATGGCCCACCAATCCACGGCAGGCCCATACAGCATTTCCTGGAGGATCTGTGCAAAGAGGGCAATGTGACAGGTGCTTCATGCATCTGGTTATCAAAGGTATTCTTCATGTCTAGGGGCAATGATGGATTAGGAAATATCAAAGCACAAAAATGGAATCCCCTGTGTTGGTATGCAGGCTCCATTCCATGTCTATGGAGTAGTCTGTTTCCCTGTGGTTGACTCCGAGGCCCCTTCTCTTCTAGGTGATCAAAAATTGATGGCCTAGTTCAGCCAAGGGATGGCACATGAAGAGCCAACACAGAAAGTGTTTCGAAAATCCATCAGTGCAGAGGGAAGAGGAGACTGAGATCACTCACTCATATGGGAAAGATTGAAGAGCTTTTGTTTAGATCTGCTAAGCGAGGCTGAAATTAAATCACTAAGCAGAGACAAAGGGATAAATAGTCATGAGCAGAACACACTCTGTCCTTATTTAGAGCTAAGGCCTAAAACAGCTGCAAAGTTTATAAAAACTTTTTTTTTTTAACTCAAATTCTTATTTAGAGAAACCTCAGACATTTTTAACCCCATTCACCCAATGAGCCATAAATGAGTCTGGGCTGAAGCACACAAAAACAGCCAGTGGCATTTCAAAAGCCTTATCAAGCAGGCCCACTCACCTCTGGAGCAATGTAGTCAGGTGTTCCACAGAACGTGGCTGTGGTGACGCCATTACAGATCCCCTCCTTGCACATTCCGAAGTCTGCCAGTTTACAGTGACCCTCATGGTCCAACAGCACGTTGTCTAGTTTCAGATCTCTGAAAGAAACCAAGGGTAGCAGCATGTGATAAGGCAGCTAGGCCTCAAACCACCCACCTGGAAGAACTGGCTCACAAGATGGGTAATCAGACCACAAAATGGTCACATGGGCTTTCTGCACATACTTCAGAAAGAATTAAACTTTTCTGGGTTGTCTGGATAAATAAAAAAAAATCTATATCAAATCTCAGAACACACCTCTATGTTCCTAGACAATGCATCCCCATGAACAGCCTAGCCATTTAGAAAAGTATAGACTGCCCTTTAGAAAATGTGGGCTGAGCATGACTTTCCATGTACCTTGTACCCAAAAGCAATCCACCTATCTCATCGCTCATTTTCTACTCAGGTACCATATCTGCCCATGAGAGTTCACTCAGTGAGCATTCATGGAGAAAGTGGTCACTGGGTGCCTGCCTGGGTCTGTGGCAGGCATCAAGAGTACAGATGATCTTTGTCCATAAGGAACTCTCAATACAATGGGGACACAGATATTTGCTAGACTGTCAACTTCATGGGATCAAGTTGATTTGGCTCACCATTATGTCTAGAATAGTGTACCAAATAAATACTTGTATGTATATGTACACACACACACACACACACACAGATAACACCAACTGCTGTATAGTACAAATGGCATGATAGAAGTATAAACCAAGTGCTGTAAAAGAAACATAAGAGGGAACAATTAATCCTTTCCAGGAGGAGGAGAGAGAGAGAGAGAGAGAGTGAGTGAGTTTCATAGCAGAAGCAGAAACGAAGCAGGGTCTGATGGCATGAGTCACAGTCTTCCAGGCAGAGAAGGGGGGTGTGAGAAGGTTGTAGTGGCAGATGGATATAGCAGGTGCCCAGAGGCAGGCACAGAGGCGTGGATGTGCAGGCCGTTCAGAGAAATATGTTCTGGAGAGGGGCCGGAGAGTGGGGCTGGTATGGGAGCGTGGGGACATGAAAAAGCTTAGGGCTGGAGAGGAAACTGAGGTCCTTCAAACTATGGAGGGCCCTGAATGCCATATTAATGAATTTTGATATGTAGGTATTAGGTGAAAGGGAAGGAGCTCCCTAATTAAGAGAGAAGCAGGCCCCTCCCAGATAGGGTAAAGATCAGTTTGGGGCAGCTGACACTGTCCAGGGAGATGGTGAGGACTTAACCAGGCAGTGATAAGGAGTGGAAAGTCTGAGGCAGGAAAGGGAAAGTAAGCAGAGCTTCCGTGAATGCAAAATTAGTAGCGAGGACTGACGGATACTTAGGGTAGCCAAGGAGAAGCAGCAGAAAGATGGCTTCTGCATGAGTGAGGGATATCAATAACCAGGAAAAAGGGAAAAAGAACAGGGTCTGAGTGGGTGTGTCCTGCATCCACAGAAGGCCTGGTAGATTATGGGGAGCTAAGGACAAAGGACACTTTTTACCCCTGTCCAGCCCCACGGAGCAGAATCCACATGAGCAAAGAGAATTTCTAGCAGAGCTGTTTGGTAGAAAGCCCTCCACGTAGGTGGGAATATGGCCACACACTGCGAAAACTGTCTGCAGGTAAAGAGCAGTACCCTCTCCAGCACAAGCTTCTAGCACCTGGTTCTCCCAGGTGCATAGTTAGAGAGGGAGGTCAGTTGCCAGAGTGGGCTGGGAAAGTCCTGCAAACCAACCCAATGGATACCTCCTGAGCACAGCAGATTGGATGACAGAATAGCCTGACCTGTTAGTGAGGTCTGTTTTTTGCTGGTTAAAGGGGCGATGTACTCAATGGCAAATCACATGTCCCACCAGTGAGAGGAGGCTGCATGTCAAGCAGGGGACACTGCTGATGACCAGGAGATTCCTTCAACTGGAGATCTGCTGTTAATGGTCAGTGAGTGAGGCCATCCTGGCATCAGGCCACCAGGAGCTATTTGCTTGGGAGCCATGGTGTCCCCGTCCCTGTAGTATCTTCATGGTGTCTGGAACTGGCTGCTCCCTGGAGCCTCACATTTACAGAAGGCTGAATCTGGGTACCTGTGGTTCTTTCTATTTCCCTGTCCCTGGACTAAGAATAAGAGACCTGTTGGCCTGCTTAGGCCCCAGGGAAAAAGCTGGTCTCTGTCCAGCCAGGATCACGTTGCAGCTGAGGAGGTAGGTGAGGACAGAGCTGGCATGACTGGTTCCCTGACTGTGCCCTGTGAGGTGATACAGCCTGGCTGGACAGGTCTTACAGATGGCGGTCACTGGAAAATGCCCAGAAATGAAAACGAATCCCGGTTTTCCGAGAATCCCTGACAAGTGTAGTGACCATGGCAGAGCTTTCTTGGCACAAACCTCCCCCACCCCACTGCTCCTCTGCTCCCGGCAGTGGTCTCCCAGTGACAGGAGCACAATAAGGTCAAGGGGTGTGCAGTGCGTATGTACCCACTTCAGCAATGCAAACCCCTCTCTGCCTCTAAACCAGACCTGGCCTTCAAAGCAGCCCCTACCCTTCCTCCATGCGGAATCCTTCTTTCCCCACAAGCCTCTGTTTTCAGTGGGCTGCAATTTAAGGATGCTGCTTCCTTCTCTGCTTCACCACACACACACACACACACACACACACACTCAAGGTATTCAATTCCAGCTTCCATGTGAAGCTGGACTTGGGAGCACAGGTGGGGGAATGAGGAGTGAGGACCATATAGTATGTCACAAGCAAGGCCACAGCCAGGTGATTTCCTATCAATACCTGGTCCTCTGGCTCCTGGAGACTGACACCAACTATGAGGGAGACAGCAGCTGGCTGAGGTGAGACATGATAGTCTGAGGCCCCAGGAGACAGTGAGGTCATGGGGGACTGAACCTGTGAGGCTGGCTTTATTGACACCATGTCCAGGCCCAGTGGTCCAGGCCTGCGTGGGCCTGAGGCCAGAGTGCTCTCACTCACACTTCCAAACAAGGTTACTGAGTTTCTGAGTTGTCCAGAAGCCGTTATGCCCACTGAGCTCTCAGAAAGGATCTTCTTGGGCAAGAGGGACAAGTGCTGACAGAAACCCACAGCATTCTAAAGAGCGACCTGCGATTGCTCAAGAGAGCTCATGACTAATGTCCCAGGTAAGAGTTTGACTGCTTATTACTCAGCTACTGTCATGGGGAGCCGGAATCGCTCAGGGAGAGAAAAGTGCTTGGTAATCACTTTATCCGTCACCCACCACAATCCCCTCTGCACAGAGGAGTCTCGGAACTCAGCTCTCAAAAGACACACCTGAACAGCACAGGGGATGTGACTCATCTGGTCATAAGACGCCCAGGGCCACGAAGGCAGGTTAGACACCTTAAACCTGACTTTTCAGTCTATTTTTAAGCATTCTCAGAGCTGTACTGAGTCCTGAGGGAAATGCCGCAGCAGGTTCTACACCAGGTACTATCTAATGGGACACAAACCTCACAGTTGGGATCCCAAGATGATTCTGTCAAGAGTGTTATATGACCCCCAGCTGCTCATTCTGCCCTCAGCCCAAATCTCTCACACTTCACTGTGAAGTCTGTCCTGATGTCCCCAGTCAGACATACCAATGTCAACTCTGCCCCTAGAGCACAGAGTTCATACTGCTTTGACAGCACCCTCATACTGGCTTCCAGAAGGCTCTGGGTGTGCACCTGTCACCCCCTTAGCAGGAGCTGAGTCTTACTCCTTCCTATATCCAGCTCCATCCTGGCAGAAGGTGCTGACCAAAGACATCAATGGAAGGATTTCAGATGGACACCAGTGGAGCAACCCTGGCCAAATTCAAAGCATTTCTTGATTTCTTATTTGTAGGGGAAGGAAGTTCCATAAAACTGGGACCTTTGTTCTTAAGTAATTAAACTTATAAAAAGCCAAGTGTTTTACCCCTCTACGATAGACTCCAGAGGGAAAATAAGAAACCGGAAATGGGAGCTCAGATTCATCTCCTTAGTGAAGCTGGAGAAAAGAAACTAATTTAGGAGGAACAATCATAGGGCAAAGAAGACCAAGTAGAAACCTCTCCCCTCCACTGGCTTGCATCCAGATGGAGGAGTCAAACAAGAGAAGCATGAATCAAACAAATCCAAAGGTTACTGAGCCATGTACGGCCATGGTCAGCTTCCACAATAAGGGTAAATCATACCTTTATTAGGGGGGAAAAAGCAAAAGCAAGAGAAAGAGGGAGAGGGAGGGAGAAAGAGAGAGAGAGAATATTACTCTATGACTCTTGACTTAATTTGATGTGCAGAGGTCAGTTTTTGGCTTTGGAGTTCCTCAACCTTGTATGCCAACATATAACTCAGCAGCCAAACTTAACAAGGCTGCACAATGAAGATTACAAGTTCATACAGGGCAGAGGCTCAGATCCTAAAATGCCAAAAACACAATTACGGGCTCACCAGTCATTAGCTCACTGAGCACTGGTATTTAATAGCTAAAGCTTTTGTCATGCAAGCAAAGAGGGTAGACAGGGTTATTTTATCCTCTCTGCTTGCCTGAAAGGTACATTGTTCTTGCTGGGTAATCAGGGTTACTTAAAATGCCCACAGTAGTTTCAGAGAAAATTCCCAAGTGGTTGAAGACAAAGAAGATTCAGAAATTGGATTTATTTTGTTTCCATCCTGAACTATCCTGAGAGTAATAAAACAGAATAGTATGAGTCTTTCTGCTTAGATCACTAGAAATCAGTTACCCCTCTAAAAGAAATAAAGGAAGTGAGTTGTGAGTCGGCTCCTTGAATAATGGATCTGAGAGGCTATTCACAGGAACCATTTTGAATGCATTTTTTGACTTTTTATTGTGGAAAATTTTAAGCATGAACAAAAGTATAGAGAATAATAGAACAACCTCTGGCCTGATCCCACAGTGTCAGCAGCTATCAGCACATGTCCAATCTTGTTTCATCTATACATCTCCTCACTCCTTTTCCTGCTTGACCCATCTTTTTTCAGATTATTTTAAAGAAAATCCAAGACAGGAAATCATCTCATCTATATTTTACTATCTTAATCTAAAAGATAATTCTTTAATAAAAATACAACTTTCATATCAGT